GGGAGAGGGGTTGATGCTGCTGGCAGAGTGAGTGGGGGCGGGGCCAGGACTCCGCGGGGGCGGGGCCAGCGGGTGGGAGACTCGGGTTGTTGCTGCTGGCAGAGTCCAGCGCTGGTGCCCGCTCCACACACCCGGGGGGCAGCACAGGACCCGGGGATGAGCCCCACTAGTAGTCTGGGTTCACGTCCCTGTGCTCTTGAACCAAACTGCTTAACCTCGGAGTCTGCGCCTACCCTTTTGTAAGGGGGTGACAGCAGTCCCCACCTCCAAGGGTGAGTGTGGGGACTCTGAGACAATACACACAAGCTCGGCTCGGCACCCACCACCCCTTCCTCCTCCTACTCACCATCACCCTCACCTGGTCTTCCAGAGTCACCGGGCTGCCCACCCCACCCAGAGACGAGGCGTCCTCAGAGTACAGCTAGTCAGGGAGGGCTTCCAGGAGGCGGAGAGGCGATGGCTCAGCAGATAGAGCAGTGGAGAGGGAGTGGGAGCAGCAGAAGGGCACGGTCTGGGGGCGGGTGGGGAGACTAGCTGGCCTGGCCTCTGCTGCTGCTCCCCAGAGCAGCCGGAAGAATGGGGGCGGGGAGCCCCGACAGGGGTCCTGTCCGACAGGGGTCCTGGCCTCCAGACAGAGCGCAGTTTTCTTTGCACTTCATTTGAACCCAGCTAAGGGTTCAAATCCCCGACACTCACTAGTTTCAAGCCGCACACGCTCAGTATCTCAGCGTCTGTGGGTCAGGGGAGGCTAGCTGCCGAGGCCCGTCTCCCCGGCCCGGTGGGCCTCACCCTGGGGACCCCTCCAGCCCTGTTGCCCTGTTACCCAGGAATGCTCTGATGCACCCCCACTTGCCAGCCCTCCTAGTTTTAAAAGAAAAGCTGGGCATTTCGATTTTTAGGTGCATCCACCTAATCCCTAAACATGGCCAAGAAATCCAAACCCACGCTGCGAGCTGGGTTAGCCGGGTCACGCAGGACACCGGTCATCAAGGCCTCCATCACACTGCTTGGGTGGCAGGCGGAGCCTGGCTGGGCAGAGCCCAGGGGTCCCTGGCGGGGCCCAGAGCAAGGCCGGGTGAGCGCCCGTGACTGCAGCGGCTCTCTGGCCGCAGGGCAGCAGCTTTGCGTGACAAGTACCAGAGGTGGGAGCATGGCCACCTCCAGAGCCGGCGGAGGGCCCTGCTCTGGGGCTGGCGGCAGGCCGCGGTGCGCCGGAGACTCACGGTGGTCAGGCTGGAGCCACGTCCCGTCCCGTGCCGAGGTGCATGGACCTGATGGCAGTGGGGGCAGGTCCTTCCCACCCCCGGAGGAGCGGGGGCGGACCCGGGGGCTGGGTGGCCTCTGCTAAGCCGCCCTGGGGAAACGGGCCTGGGGACCCCAGCCTGGACCCAGAGCCGCCGCCACGCCCTGCCCTTTCCTTGTCTGCTGGGCTGGGGCGGTGCGGGAGAACAAGCCCCAAACCCACACTGCACCCCGCAGCCCCCAGGGCGCCACCTCCAGCCCTGTGGCTTCAGAGGGTCCAGTCCAGAGGGCACTCCACCCCTCCCACCATGCGTGGTGTCTGAGGAATCAGAGTGGGGACTTGTGAGACTCTCCAGAGATGACCTTAGAGCAGCTGTTAGCGTTCATTAATGCAGAGCGAAAGCAGGGCCAGGTGAAGCTCCTTCCCGCCCGGTCACAAGTCTGCACATGTCCCCAGTGTCCCCATGGGGCCAGCGAACCGGTGATTGACTGTTGTGCTTTATTTTTGGCATCTGAACAGAACTTTCTGAGCCCCTGGGGTGTGGGGCAGTCTCCCCCTTACCGGCCTCCTGGCCTGTGAGGGGAGGGCAGGGTGTGGTCTCCCCCTGGGGCGCTGGACTCCACCCCACTGGCCCTCGGTTCCCTAGTCCTGAAGGCAGCGTCTGACCCCACCCCACAGGAGTCTGTATGCACCCCCCAGCCCTAAATGACAGTCGGTGCTCTCGCCTGGTGCGCTGGGTGGATGCAGTTAAGGCTCCGGGCCTGCTGTGTGCAAACTCACGTGCACCTGTGGTGCTTGGTGTGGCTTCTGCGGGTGCGCTTTGCATAAATTCAGCTGGCTGTGGGACCCAGCGGGGCCCTCTCCTGCTTCTGTTTTGCAGCTGTTTACAGGCCTGGTCTGGGCGTATGAGAGTCAGAGGGGTTCTTGGGGCCAAGCATGGCGCTTTCCAGGATGGTTTGGAGACAAGGCCCCCTGGGGTCACCTTTGCCACGCAGGGAGCCCGAGGGGCTGCTGCAGCCGGAGCACAGGAGTGGCGTGTGGCCCAGGCCTCCGTCGCTCTCTGGAGGAGCTGTGCGCGAGAGTGCCGGGCTGACAGGCAGCTGCGCAGGGCCTGGGCCCAGCAGGCCTTTGTCGCATGGCGAGTGGCCTTGGGCCAGCACTGAGAGGCCCGCCAGCGGGCAGAAGAGCAAGCTCAGGCCCAGGCCAGGGTGGCCCTGTGCTGGGGGCTGTGGGTGCAGGAGGCTCGCAGTGCCGGCTCAGCCGAGCCCACGCTGCCCGGAGGCTGAGCGCAAGGTGGGTGCCCATGGCCAGAGGGCAGCGCCCCACCGTATTTCCACTTGGGGCCCCAAGCCTGTGTTGGGCGGTGGTGGGGGGAGGGTACTGGGTGCCGGTGGTGGTAGGGAGAGGTGGTCCTGGTGTCTGCCCAGCTCGGCCCTTTCTGGCTGTGCGAGACATCCGCAGGTGCGTCTCAGCTACAGGATAATAGGCCTGCCCTCGGGGTCAGCGCTAACACCTGCAGGTCTGGGCTGGGCTCAGGGAAAGGCAGACCCCAGCAGGCGCTCCATAACCCTTATGAAGCAGAGCACGGGGGCAGCCCAGGCGCCTGCCCTCTCCGGCCCTTAAGCAGTGGGCTTGCCTGCAGTGTGAGGTTCTGCTGCCCTCCATGTCCACTTCACCGTGACATGGAGGGGGATGAAGGGAGGAGAAGGGGCCTGGGCCTCTGCCAGGCTGGGAGGGCGCCCTGCAGGGCTGGGAGTCCCTGGTCTGCACTGCAGGTGTGTGTGCTCCGCCCTCTCCCCCAGGGTCCTACAGGCCTGGGCTCAGGCAGCAGCCCGGGGTGGTCTCCTGCGAGCTCCCTCGCCCAGTTCCAGCAGGCTGGGCCTGGGCGCCTCCCGCGGACTCACTGGGCCCAGTGGCGGACCGCACTGCTCACGTCACAGCTGGAACGTGGGGCTGAAGTCCAGAAGGCCAGCACTGCCCACCCCGGGCCCTGGCCCAGGCCGGACAGCAGAGAGCAGCAACCGGCTCTGACAGACACCCCAGCCCCGTGGAAGCAGGTGAGGGTGGGCCCAGGTGGGGTGGGGGGTCTAAAGTGGCCCCAGACCACTGGAGGACCAGCTCGTTTCAGCCCCTGGAGGGAAGGGTGAATGCTTTCGGGGGGCCGGGCGGCCCTGCAGACAGTGCCCTTACCCAGTTCTCAGACAACCCCCCACCCAGAAGACAGCCAGCTCCAGGTCTGGACCCCGCTGAGCGCGTGGGTGGGGAGTGCCCGGCCCAGGCAGGGGCAGTGCAGGCAGGACCCGGGGCCACGCCCCGCTAGGGAGTCAACACCTAAGCTGGGGCCCAGGCGCAGCCTCAGACCAGACAGGTTCCCGGGGCAGTAGTGATCCCTCAAGTCACTTTTTTATTATTGGAGAAGTGAAACAAGCTCACTAGAGAAACATCAGGAAACACCAGTGACAAGAATTTCCTTCCCAATTCCTAATCGCCAGCCCCTCTCCACCCACAGCAGTGAGTTCTGACGCCAGCGAATGGTGACAAGAACTTGATGGCCAGCAGGAGGACAGAGGCCTCTAGGAAAGCCAGGCGTGGGTGACCCCAGCGGCCCGTGGATGTGTGTCCCTGAGGGACACATAGCCCAGTTCCTGGCAGGACGCACGGTGTCCCTAAAGATGACCTGAATGCAGGAACACACTTTCTAACACACTTAGAAAGTCTAAGAAAAAAGACCAAAGTACATTTGTAATGGAGCGGAAAGGACGGGCTCTGGTTACGCGCAGCGAGCACTGCAGATAGGGCAAGACGAGGGCAAGGGCACATTCGGGGATCCTGAGGTGTTCCACGCCTCGATCCGAGGCACGATTTTTGTGTTCAGAGTAGGATTGCTGACCTCTCCCATCCACTCCTGGTAGCCAAGGCTGGAGAAACTGAGAGCAACAGAGGAGGGGCTGGGCTGGCCACTACCGCCACCCCCAGTCCCCTCCTCTCTGAACAGCCTCAGCGGGCAGCCCACCCCCCTCAGGGCACTCGGCCCCTGCCAGAGGAGCTGGGAGCTGCGGCCAGGCCGCGCCGAGGCGGCAGAAGGGGGCTTCCGCAGGGACGCCGCTGGCCAGCTCCAGGCTGTACCTGGCACAGGTAGCCACTGTGCCCACCCCTCGGCTTGGCCTCCAGCCACGTGGCGGGTGGGGACCCGCAGCGGTGGCCGCAGTACTCCGGGCCCCTTCTCAGCCGCCTCTGGAGCTCGGGCTCAGCTGGGTCCCAGAGCTCCAGCCTGGTGCTCCTCGCTGCTGTTCCCCCAGACCCACACTGCAGCCCAGGGGCCGGGACCCCTGCCGCCCCGGCCGGCCCAGCACCACAGCCTCCGAGCGCAGAGGGAGTGGAGAGGAAAGTCCCCGGCACAGCGTAAGGACACCCTGCTGTTGGGCCAGGGCCAGGGGGTCCCTGGCCAGCTCAGGGCTGGAAACCACCTTGGAGCTGTTCCAAGAACGTAGAGATTTTGTTGCCCCATCTATTTCCTTTCATCAACGGCAGCCATCTTGAGAAAGCCGGGGCATTTTCTCATGCCCCAGCCGCTACTTCTCTTTGGGCAGTAGTCCAGGGCGGGGAGGTGAGGGGGGACAGTGCTTTTGTTGTCTGCCCCTCGTCATGCATCACTGTGACCTGCGGGCAGCCCAGGGGGTGCTCCGCACTCCTCTCCTGAGCCCATGCCTGAACCTCTCCCGACGGCTCCCCTCTCCAGGCGACTCGCTGCCTCCCCTGCGGCATGTCTCCCCGCTCTGGCTGCAGAGGCGGTGGCCGACAGGCACCAGCTGGGCCTGGGGCTGGACGCTGGCAGAGGGGGATGTGCCCCAGAGAAGGCAGCTGGGGTAGGAGCAGCTGTGTGCCCACAGGCGCGGGAGGGGCGGGCGGCCCTGCAGTGGCCCCCTGGCTGGCGCTTGCCGGTGCGGGAGCGCAGGCAGGGGCGAGGCTCAGAGGGGTCAGGTGTGGTCCCAAGCAGCAGGGCCTCTGCCCGCAGGAGGAAGTACCTGCAGCGCTGGCATCTCGAGGCTCTGCTCCACTGGCACCAGGCTGCCCAGCAGGCCCGCCGTCCGGCCAGGACGTGGCGGGGCTGGGTGGACGCTTGGGGCGCAGAGCAGCTGGCTCAGATGCTGGTGACAGGGGGGTGCCCGGTGCTTTCAGGCAACGCTATCTTGTTCCTTCTCAGTCACAGGGGGGTGCCCGGTGCTTTCAGGCAACGCCATCTTGTTCCTTCTCAGTCACAGGGGGGTGCCTGGTGCTTTCAGGCAACGCCGTCTTGTTCCTTCTCAGTCCCAGCCCAGAGAGGTCAGACTAGAGCCGGGCCTGAAGCCCAGGACAGACCCAGGCCGCGGCCTTCACACCCGCGGTGACAGCCTCCCCATGGGGCCGAGGGGCGGGGGCGGCGGGCCAGGCCGAGGCTCCCAACGCCTGTCCCCACAGCTCCGGGAGTGGCAGCTGAGGTGGGTCTGGAGAGCGTGGCGGCGGCGGGTCCTGCAGCTGAGGGTGGCTCAGCAACTCCAGCGGCAACAAGGTGGCTGGCTGCTCCCCCAGGTCGCGCCGGGACTCTGCCCCCGCTCCCCGCAGCGCCCAGCAGCTCTCCAGAACGGGTCACCCCTGGCCGTTTCTGAGCCGGGGTCTGCCTTCTGCGGGCAGGGAGGCAGGTCAGTTCGCTGAGACAAGAACTCGGATTCTGAAGCCTGTGGTGTGGCCGGCGGCCAAGTAGTCAGGGGAGCGGGGTTGGCCTCGGCACGCTGCCACCCCCACCGGCCGCGGGGCACAGCGCCCTGGTCTCCGCCAGCCCACCCTGACCGCTGCACTGAGCATCGCCACCCCTCACGGACTCGGCTCGTTGTGAATCGCGCGTCTGGCCCGGGCAGGGCCTCCTGCCTGGGTGGGGGAAGGCAGCTGTTCCCCTGGGAACACAGGCCTGGGCACGGGCCCCGCGCTCGGTGCAGACACGGCGAGCCCCACAGCCGCTCCTTCGCCCACCCTCGCTCCAGGCCTTTGAGAAGTGGCGTCAGAGCCTGGCAGCCGGGGCCCCAGGAAAGGTGCTGCCGCAGCAGGAGAGCCCGGAGCAGGCCGGACGCCCGGAGCCCCGGGAGCAGGCTGGCGCAGGGCCCGGCTGTGCGGTGACTTACTGCCCTGAAAGAGCAGCGGAATGGAACTGGCCTCCCTGGAAAGGCCCTGTCACCCTGCCCCTGGGCCCTGCCCACCAGGACATGCAAGCTGTTAGCCACAGGGCACTGATCCCACAGCCAGGCCCTGCAGGACAATAAAATGCCTGTTTTAGTTCTAGCTGCTTTTCTTGCTGTCTCTGTTCAAGGCTGACCCTTGGCCCTGGCCAGCTGGCCTGGGAAGGAAGGCACAGGACACGCCAGCCTCTGCCGTCTGCCAGGCTGCTCTCTGGGCCTCCACCCCACCCCTGTCCTTCCTGCTGAGCCTGCAAGACAGGAGCAGGGCCAGCCCGTGTGTGGCTGCCTGTCCCCACCCTGGGCAGCGGGGCCTGAGGCTGCCCCCTGGGGAGCAGTGCCAGGCACACAGCTTTGGAGAGGGGTGGACAGAGGGGAGACGGCACGTAGCACTTCAAAAAGCCAGGAAGAAACAAGCCTGCTTGGGCGAACCCCATCTTCGCCCTTGCTGGGAACGGCAGGGCGCCCCTGTGGCCAGGGGAGGAGGGGCAGCCAGGCTCCCTGTGGCCCATACGGGGCACTGGCTCTCGAGTCCCAGGACTACAGACACCGTGTCAGAAAGCAGCACTGTGGAAAGACGAAAACTGCGCTGTCAGGTAGCGGCAGTGGCGTCTCAGCCCCAGGCCGTCCAGGGGCACCGGTCTGCCCCTTCTAGCAAGTGGGTCATGCCCGGCGGCCAGTGTCCTGGAGGCGGAGGGGCCACAGCCCCTTCGCTGTCTCTTCTGAAGGCCTCGGTGCTGGCCACCCGCCCTCACTGCTGCTCCTATGCAGGCCTGAGAGCAAGGTCACTGGCCGTTCCTTCCGGCGGGCTCCGGGGCTGTGCTAGGCGCTCAGTCAGCACTAACCAGTCTCCTCCCCTTCTCAGCGAGGAGGCAGTTCTGCCTGCACAGACCTCTGCAGGTCTCCCCACAAGGAGACTCCAGACAGTCCAGAGGGCACCAGGCGCCTCTGGGCCCGCTGGGTCGGGCCGGAGCCCAGAGCCTCGCCGTCGCTGGCTCCATCGTCCTCTGGGGGTGGAGGCCCGGGCTTGGGGAGGAAGGACGAGGCAGGGGTCCTCGAGACCCAGGCCTGGTGAGGAGGAAGGTGGGACCCAGTGGCTTCCAGGCAGGGATGTCAGGGTGCAGCCTCTGGCCCTCGCTGGCCCGGGGCCGACCGCTTGAGCAGCTCAAACGCGTCTTCTACCACCTGCCACAGGCAGGTGTCCAGCGGGAACTCATTGTCCACCAAGTTGACCAGGAAGTAGTTGTCGTGGATGCACTGGATGATCATGCGGGACGGGGACTCCTCCTCGTACAGCTTGCCCCACTGCTCCACCCACAGGGCGAAGGCCTCGTCCTGCAGACGGTGGGCGTGCACACCAGCACACGAGGCAGTTACCAGGGCTGCAGGGCCCCTGTCGCTGCCCCACAGGACATTTCCAGGAATAGAATGAGGCCACTGCCAGTGCCACCTCCCACCCCACCCCCAGCCCAGAATAAACATGATGAGTCACAGTCAGGCACAGCCAGGAAGACCGAGGCCTGGGCCCCAGCAGCGCTGCCCGGCCAAGGCCCTTCTGGGGGGCAGGGCAAGCCGTACCTTCCAGAACATGAAGCTGACAGGGTCCACCACGGTGGGCTGGATGATCTCTCGTCCAGGGAAGATGCCCCAAGTGACAGCGTTGGGCTGCAGCTCCGGGGCATTGGTGATGTTTTCGCCCTGAGGAGGGTGGGTGGGGTAGGAGCGGGCTGGGTAAGACCACCTCTCCTCGCTTGGGGCTCGCCACCTGCTCTCCCAGCTCTGCAGCCTCTGCCGAGCCCCGGGGGGCTGTCCTGGCCCTTGCCTGCCCCCTCGCCCCCTCCCAGCCATGCTCTAGCCTCACAGAGCCTCTGCCCCGGTCTCCTCCGCCCCACTGTCCACACAGCGGTCCCCGTGCCCTGAAACACGGAGTCAAGTCACTCCACTGCTGACGCGCTGCTGCCCTCAGGGAAAAAGCCGATTCCCGGCGGGGGTTAGTGGAGGCCTGAGGACGCCCTCAGCAGTGGCCCGAGGCCAGGCCTGCCCCTGCTCTTTCCCGGGTGCTTCTCACCCCGTCCTTGAGGATTCAGGCCATGCAGGACGCTTCTGTCCCTGACCTCCAGGTTCGCCGTCCCGCTCTGGGGTGCCGGCGTCCTGTTCCGAGCCGGTGTGACTGCCCACGCTGGCTCGCGGTCACTCTCTGGCGGTCTCCCCCTCGAGCGGGGAGCTCTGAGCCTGGGGCCTGGCTGTGGGTCTGCCTCGAGCCCTCCTGGCTGAGTGTGGCCGCTGTCTGGCCCCGGAGCTGCCCACCTTCACGTCCACGATGTGGTAGTTCACCCGGAGCTCGTACTTCTTCAGCACCTGCAGCAGCGCCGCCACGGTCTCGCGGGAAGTGAAGAACTCCAGGTAGGCCTGCGGGGGAGTCAGGCGCCCGCCATAGCGGCAACCCCAAGTCCTTGCCAGATGCCCCCTCTGTGCTGCCCATGTGCGTGCCAGCACCACCAGTCAGGCGCTGGTCCTCCAGACCCGTGTGCTGCATGCCAAGACGCAGGGCACCTCCGGATGGATCGTGAATTGTGGAGCTGCACGGGCCTGGGTCTGCACAGGCCTGGGTCTGCACGGGTCTGGGTGTACATGGGTCTGGGTCTGCAGGGGCCTGGGTCTGCAGGGGTCTGGGTCTGCAGGGGTCTGGGTCTGCAGGGGTCTGGGTCTGCAGGGGCCTGGGTCTGCACGGGCCTGAGTATACACGGGTCTGGGTCTGCAGGGGCCTGGGTCTGCAGGGGCCTGGGTCTGCAGGGGCCTGCAAAGGCCAGGGAGGGCTCCATGGAGAAGGCCTCACAGCACCGTGGGGAAGGCCAGTCTAGAGCTGAGGGGCAGGTGGGAGGCACATGTCCCTCCCCACTTGCTGGACAGTAACAGCTACAGGGGCAAGGGGTGGGGGTCATTTTGGAGGGCTGTTCAAGCACCAACCTTCTCTCTGGAATTATGCTGGGTGGATTTCGGCTCACCAGCTATGACCCTCCCGGCCCCATTTTACAGACGAGGGGACTAAGCTCAGCGAAGGTGGGCACCCGGGCGGCACTGACGGCGAAGAGCCAGCTGGTGCCCAGACCAGGCCTTTCCAGCCCCAGAGCCCGTGGGCGCACGCTTGAACATCACGCTGCCTCCGGGGGCCCTGGGACAAGGTGTCTGAAGCACGGTGAGCAAAGCTCCACCCGGTGAAAGCTTCCTCTGTCCTTCCCATGTGACGCGCTGAGCACTGTCGCGTTCCCCCCAGAAGGGGATGTGGTGTCTCCCCATTTTCCAGGAGGCCAGCCTGCCCAGCTCTGTCCGCCCACTCGGATCCATGGAGGCTCAGAACAACGAGCCTCATCGCCTGGCGCGGCCCAGGAGGGGTGGCCCTGTGTGCTCGGCGGTACCTTCTGGAAGACGTAGCCCCCGCTGGGGCCCCAGCCCACCACAGGGTCGGAGGACGGCTTCCCGTTGATGCGGGGCTGCGAGTTGATGGTGAGGATGCCCTGCCGGTTCACCCGCAGCAGCTGCTCCCTCAGCAGGCCCGTCTCCGCCGCCAAGGGCTCGTCACTCCAGGGCAGGCAGGTCACCTGGGGACAGGTGGGCCAGGCTGGGGCGACCCTCCTCTCGGCTGGTCTCTGCCTCCCAGGGCCTGCCAAAGTCCCAGGTGGGGCCGCACGGGCCTGGGTCTGCCCTTTCCATTTGGGGGGGGCGGGGTCATGTGCAGACACAGAAGGGTGAGGCTGGGCCACGGAGAGACAGAGTGGGGTGTCACCAGGGCCCCCCCACAGCACTCACCTTGTAGCCATTCCGGTTTGGCTCTCCCGAGAGGTAGTGGGCGAAGACTTCAAAGACACTCTCTTCGCTGGTCAGCTCCTCCCCCCACATCTTGAGCAGCTCTTCCCTGGGGGACTTGCTCTTCAGGTAGAAAAGGTAGTAGTCCTTCAGCTCCCCAAAGGCTGGGGAGGACGAATTGCCCCTGGTGGAGGAGGCGCCCACAGGTCAGCCAGCGTCCACTCCCAACCTCGGGTTCCAGAAGCAGGACCACTGCCCCACATGCCCGGGCGACGCGTGAAGGGCCATCCGTGCACCTTGTGCCTCCTCGCCCAGGCGCTCGGGCAGAAGCACGCAACAGGCTGCCGCCCTCCGCCCAGGAAATGGAATTCGTTTGCGGGGGACCCGCAGGGCTCACCAGCGGCCATTGGGGAACTCATCCCACTCCTGGGTGCGGTAAATGTAGCTCTTTGGTCTGGAAGCCCAGAAGATGGGGCGGACATCTTCCTCCCGGCGCTTGGGGTGGGCACTGACAGCCCAAGGCAGGGGGCGCCTGGGCGAGAGGGGGAAGGGGCAGCGCTGAGCCGCGTTCCGCAGTCCGAAGCCCAAGCGTACCGCTGGCCGCGTCACAGACAGCCCTCAGGCCCGGGGTGGCCAGCACAGCTCGGCCTGCCCAGTCTGTGACTTTGGACCTTGCGTGGCCTCACCTGGGGTCCTCTTTCCACAGGCCCAGGCGCTTCAGCACCTCGGTGGTGGCCACCTCACGGTTGAGGGTGTAGAAGTGGAGGCCAGGCACCAGGCCACTGGCCAGGAGCTCCTGGCACAGGCTTACAGCCTGCTCGATGCCATAGTTGCGGATGGCAGCATCGTTGTCTTTGATGGGCTCGATCACGTCCTTGATCTGCTGTGGCACCTCCAGCTTGGACAGCTTCACAAGCTGCCGCAGGGAGTGGTAGCCCTGTGGGGACGCGAGGGGTGTGGGTGCCCCGCCCACCCGCCCCTCCCTGAAGGCCCATCTCCTGCCCTTCCCCACTAGGCCGCCTGATACGGCACAGCCCGGCCCGGAAAGGCCAGCCGGAAAGGCCAGCCGGAAAGGCCAGCCGTCTGGTTCGAGAGCGGCTGCCGTGTCTGCTCCTGCCACGCCCCCAGGGGGACAGCAGCTGCTTTCCTGCCATCAGTCTGAGGCAGCCCTTTGGCCCTCCCCTCCCCGATATATTTATTGAAAACCAGGTGGCCAGCTAACCCAGGGGTCCCCCAGCCTCACTCATCATCAGAATCCCCAGCAAAACTGAAGAAGTCACACACAAACCCCTAGGCCCAGCGCCAGAGAACCCTACAGGATGGGATCTAAAGACGGATTTCTTGAAAACATGTATCAAGTGATTCTGATGAAACCATGCTGGGAAACACCGATTTGACTGAAACTTCCTTTTAGTGACGCTTGCCCGTGAGCCCAAGTGCAAGCCCCACCGACAGAGAGTTGCTATTGTGGGGAGAGGGCAGCACGAGCGGCCACCACAATGGGCGGCAGGACGCCAGGTCTCGTGGGAAGTCTCAAGAAGCATCAGAAAAGAACTTGACCTTGAACCTGGCGCTTCACCCCAACGGTGAGCCAGGGCAAGGAGGGAGCCCCAGCCATCCTGGAACCCTCACCTGGATGGGAAAGATTCCGGGGAGGATGGGGCAGGTGATGCCTATCTCGGCGCAGGCCTTAACAAAGCGGAAGAACGTGTCCGCCTCAAAGAAAAGCTGGGTGATGATGAAGTCAGCTCCTGCGGACACCTTCTCCTTCAAGTACTTCAGGTCGGCCTCAAAGCTCCCTGCGTCGGGGTGGCCTTTGGGGTAACCTGCCAATAGGGATGACAAGAGGGAGAGGGTGGCTTCACCTGCTCAGGTGAGTGAGAACAGGGAACAGGGGTCTCTGCCTCAGGCTTCAGACTTGTGCTTTCCAAGAGCACAGCGTGGACAGGCCTCACGGTGAGAGGCTGGGCTCACCGCCGCCCCCTCGGCCCCCTGGTGGGCCACCTCGGTGACAGCTGGCTTACAGCCACCCTCCCAAGGGAAGGGGTGAATAACGCAAAAGCCCCACGCTGTCCCGCCTCATGGCCCTGGCACCTCGCCAGGTAAATCCGGCTCCCTCTAGGTCACGGACAAGACAGCAGGCCACATGCAGCACTGGCCTGACTCCAGGCACTGGACTGGTCTCAAGAGTGCAAAGGTAGAAACTATGTTACAGAAGGAAGAAAGCGGAGGTGATTAGCTTGAAGGAAAGAATGAAGAAGACGGGGTAACTACTGTTCCAGGGATCAAAGATTCATCTTGGAGTCTGGGTGGCTTCCGCGGCAGGACCAGAGTGAGGCTCAGGTTGATGGCTCCCGGGCCGTGAAGTGCTGGGCTGCTGGGATGCCGGGAGCTGGGGCTGCCAAAGACGCTGAATTCTGGGCCTGGGAGGCAGGCCCAGATGTCCTCCAGACGCCCCGCTTTCCTAACTGACCGAAACAGCACTCTCCTCCTGGCCTGCACAGGAAGACAGGCCGGGGGCCTGCCAGCAGAGCAGACTGCTGCGTCTGGGCCCGAGTCCAGGGCTGGCCCCACGGTAGCAAGGACGCAGGCCTATGACCCAGCCTGTTGGGCAGGCAAGCTGTTTGCCTGTGATAAGGGTTTTGCTCTTAAGAAACCCTTGAGTCATCAAAAATGGATATGAAAAGATTTTTTTTTCTTGCCAGCAGGCATTTGCAAAGCAGAGGCCTTAGTAGCGCAGACCGCCACAGCAGCCCAGCCTCACGCTCACCTCCTACTGGGTCTGGCTCAGCTTACTGCTCTGTCAAGGCCAGCTGCGCTTTCTAGTCCCATGATCCTCTTTCCCACCCACCTCCAGGCCCACTTCCCTAATCGACCAAAACAGCCCCAGCAAAGCACCGGGGCACGTGGCGACTTAAGCTCACGGCTCTGCTGGCTTCCTCTCCTGACCAGAGGGGCCCACTGCACACACCCGCTGACCAGCTGCCTGGGGCCCGTGCGAGCTATGGTGCCTGCCAGCACCCATCCTGCCCCTGACTCATATGGTGGCCTGCGCTCAGCCACCTTGACGCAGAATGAACAGACATGGGCGTGGGGGCCTGGGCCTGAGCCCTGAGCCACCCCCACACAGTCCTTTCCTCGAAGTCACACGGCTTAACCTTTATGTTCACATCACGTTGAAATACGGCTCCACAACACCACATATTTAATATAAAAATGACGCAGTTTTCTTTGAAATATTTGAGAAAAAACCGTCATGCTGAGATAATGTGACAAAGGACTGTTCCTGCACACACAAGCCGCTTCCCCACAGCCGAGGCCTCCTTGGAGCGTCTGGGCCCAGCCCCTAAGATGGGGCACCTGCCCTGTCCATTCCTCGCCAGTGAGGACTTGGAGGGGAAGCGACGTGATTCCTGAGAACCAAGATGGACACTGAGACGTCTGCTGGCGGAAGCGCTGACCCGGGGCAGGGACACGTGTGGAAGGCAACGTTTCCGGTGTGCCGGCCTAGGCAGGGAGCGGATGTGGAGTGGGACAGAGATGTGTCCCAGAGGGACAGGTGGCCCCAGAGAACGAGGGGGCGTGGTTTCCACAGCTCCCTGACTCCATACCCAGTGGCCCAAGGCCGTCCAGGGTCCAGGCCGGGTTCTGAGGTACCCTGCCTCCTGGAATCTTAATCCCCTCTTTTGTTTCAAGAAAGAGGACAAGGACTGGAAGCAGACAGTGACAGACACGAGTGAGGGTGCTGCTGGAGTCTCCTCTGCACCTCCCTGGCTTGAGGGGCGCAGGCCCTGGCACGCTGGGACCTGATAGGTGACCGGTGGGCTCTGTGCCGCTCTGAGGGTCCCATCCCTTCCCACCTCCACACACTGGGACACTCCAGCCACTCACCTGCCACACAGATGTCAAAGTAGTCGCCAAACTCGCTTCGGATGTGCTTCACCAAGTCCACGGCGAAGTTGAAGCCTCCCTCCTCCTCTTCCCAGTGGTCACCAACGGGGTCTGCAGGGTTGGCGGTCAGTCACCAGGAAACCCCATTTCCAGTAGTCTTTCCGCTCGTCTCCCCGACCCCTGCACCCAGGACTGAGTGTTCCTGGAAGGCAGCGCCTCCGCATTACTGAAACGGTGTCTCCCCTTTCTAGCAGAGTACTTGGAAAACTGCGGGAGGACAGAGGCCAGCCTGCCACCGTTTCCGAGGGCTGACCGCAGGTGCTGTGCGGGGGGAGCGGCCTCGCTCCCACGCCATCTGTTCTGGTGTCTCCCAACCCTGAGCCTGCTCTCCAGCCTCTTGAGCTTTTGCCTCCCAGGAAAACCTCCTACCCCTCTCAGGTGAGAAGCGGCCGTGCGGCGGGAGCACGAGGCCCTAAGTCCCACACTCAGGTGGCCCGATGACCAGCACCAGGGGCATAAGCAGCTACTCTCACTCCCAGGCCACGGGCCAGCGCTGCACTCACTGACCAGGCCAAGAGCGGGCGCTGCCAGCGATTGATGAAGCCGTGCTAGCCAGGACGGGAGTGACCAGACCCTGGCTGCGACCCTCACTGAGCGCCTAAGTGGAGGTCAAGAGGTCCAGGCGCAGCTCCCCTGTGCAGAGCCCACGGTCCTCACGACCCACAACGCCTGCTGATGCCACTGGCCTGGAGAGCGCCCTGAGAGTGCTCGGCACGGGCCCAGAGAAAGGGAAAAGATCACCCCAGACACAGAAGAGGCTTGGGCAGGCGACACCCCAGGGGAGTGCTGGCTGCGTACCTCCCCTCAGTGCCAGGATGTTCTTCAGGCCCAGCCGCCTGGCCTTGCGCAGGTAGCCCGTGATCTGCGCCCGGCTCTGGCGGCAGCAGGTCATGTGCAGGACGGTCTCCAGGCCGCAGTAGTTGACAGCGGTGCTGGCGATCGTCATGGAGGAGGTTTCCTTGTCTGAGCCAGGGTCCCCTGCGGGGTGCCAGGTCACATCTACGAAGAGGGGGCCTCCTGCCCCCATCTGGTCAAACCTGTAAGGAATTTCTTTCTGGTGAGGGCTCCTAGGAGCACACTGCCCTTCACCCCTTCCCTTGGGGCCCGGGAGACAGAAGCAGCAGATACAGGTTGGAAGCAGTGTGACCTGTGTCCTGGCTTTGCTACTTATAAGCTGTGTGACCCTGGGGAAACGGCTTCATCTGTCTGGGCCTCAGTTTCCACATTTCTGACATGTGGCAGTGAACAGTGCGGGCTTCACAGTAACACTGAGAACATCCCATCGGGGCCCCCCCAGCTCTCAGGACAGTGCAGGCGCTCTCTGACGGCCGCCAGTGTGGGCTGCCATGACCACACTGTCACTGTGGAGATGATATGTCACATTTCGTATCGTGGGTGTGTGAGGACATCTGGATGGTCAAGCGTTCCAGAAACTCTGAGGGGCAAGCAGAGGCTCAGTCTAGGACAGAAAAAAGGGGTCAGCAGATAACCCTTCTCATGCTGCCACCCAGGCCACAAGCCTGGAACCACTTGAGGGCCCGGGCCGTGGGCACACACGCCCGTGCTACCAGCTATGATGCGGTGCCGCCCCAAAACTTTGTGCCTTTAAATTTCAGGCCCGTGGGAGTGACACATGAGAAGCACAAACAGCAGAAGGCATAATCTTGGAAAAGGAACTGCCGTCCACAAAGCGCTAACGTCACGCAGTCGGCATTTCCAGTTTTCAAGAGGCACAATGCAAATTCCTAACTTGCTGAAAATGTTCCCTAAGCTGCTGCTCTGACTCCCCAGACTTCTGGCCCAGCCCCAGGTCCTGCCAGAGGACACAGTGGGAGAGTCCACCTTTTATTTTACTCCACGGAAGAGCCTAAAAGTTCCAGCTGTGGGGGGACATGCAGGAGCCCCTGGCTCTGCCTTCCCACCCCCTCTGGAGCCTCTTCTGAAGGTCAAAGTGCAACAGGCTGAGGCTCCCCTCCCCCAGGGTGCCACCCGCAGCCCCCTCCAGCCCAGCGACTCCTGCCACTTCAGCAGTTTACCTTGAGATGAGGTTGACAGCTCCCTGAGCCGTCCGAGGAGGGAAGAATTCTAGGGAAAACCACTTGTCGCCAGATTCCATCCGCCGCTTCATCTTCTCCCGGAGTCTCTCGTGCCGCTCGGGGTCCAGGCCTGGTGTGGAACATCTGGAACTCTCCTTGGAGGTCTCACCGCCACTGCTGCTGCCCTCTGAAAGGGGGCCGGGGCCAACTCCGCCTCCAGGCTCGCTCACCATGGCTGAGCTCCTGCTGCGTGCGGGTGGGAGGCAGCGGCATCAGGGGCAGGTCAAGTGAGAGGCCGCATCTCCTGGCGGGAAGAAGGCCTGTCAGTGACAGTGCCCCCGCCAGGGGCCTCGCTACCGCTCTGCACTGCTCACTCAAAGCCAGGCCAAGCCACTGCCTGGCTGCTAAGACAGCCCCCACCCGGCACAGCCCCGCAGCCTCCTGGCCATAGCTACCTGATGGAGGGTGGCACAGAGAACCTCCCGCTGCCAGCCTTGGAGACACGCATTCCTAGGGTGGGGCAGTGGTGACCTGCTGGGAGGACCTTGGGTTTTGGGTGGTCCATGTCAGCAGCTTACACCCAGAGTGGATGGGGAGGAAACATAGCAACCTTCCCAGCGGGAGTATCCGACTGGGCCTGGGCGGAGCTGTGACAAAGGAAGAGACTTGGCCTGAGCAGGGGCCGGCTCAGGGGCGGGGGCAAGGCTTCCAGGCCAGAGCGAGGGTGTGGCTCTCGTGGAAGGCAAAAGGAAGGAGGGAGAGGCGGGCGCCAGCGCAGGGCTGGTGGAGACAAGGGCAGCGAGCCGTGCGGGCTCACTGGATCCCTCTCCAAAACAGGAATAGCTCCTCTGCCCCGGCCCTGTCTGGAACATCTCCTGTTACTCCTCGGACAGTTTGCTATCAGCGTGGAAGGGGTGGGGACCAGACAAAGCGGCCAGAGAGCTCCTGAGTTCATGAGTTACTCCAAAAAAGACCCGTGTGGTGGATTAGGGTTTGACCTTGGTTGGATTCCAAGAGTGGCCAGACCCGAGGCAGGTGAGAGCACGAATGCAGTCCAACTCAGCACAAAGGCTGCCCGATCCTGCCCAGTAGGGGCTCTCCTCCATGTGATCACAGGGACTGCAGCTACCACATCCAAATCCCTGAGCCACAGAAACCACAGCAGCGAACGGGGCCTGGGGTCATTTGGCAGTTTGATGGGGGAAGACAGATAAGTAACTTAAAAACCAGACATGACTCTTGCACAGCTCTGTGCACACACACGGTCGTGAGAGTCTGGTGTGTTGTGACGTGCAGCATTAGAGGGACAGTGAGGACAAGGTCATCCCTGTCAGGGACTGTCCACAGCTAGGTGGGTCCTATGAGAAAATCGTGAATCCACTGCACCTCTCCCCAGAAACAACACAGGGACACACACTTGGGCTCACCCAAGGAGTCATGGCAGACTAGGTCACTTGTGCCAACGCTTCTGGGGGGGTACACATTTTGATTCTGAGCTAAAACTCCAGTTTCTCAGCAGGGATGGCCATAGGGAGTGAGAGAAGGGACAGTGTAGACATCAGCCTGGCTGGCCTTTCTGTGACCTGGGCGGGGGGGGGGGCGCGGCCAGAAGCCCCAGCAAAGGGTCTCTCACTTGTTTCATGAAGACACTGTATACCCAACTTTCATGTGCCACTATTTGTCCATGATGAGTTGGGGACCCAGAATACCCTGAGTTGTAATTAGGGGGTCACAGGTTTATTTCCTGCCCCTCCCCTGCTCCCTGAGACCAGGGTCCAGTGTCCTGCCTGTGGTATCCCCAGTGCTTGGCATTTGGTAATAACCACCACCACTCACTGCGCCCCAGTGGCTCAGGGAATATATTCCATTATCAAAATAACCCTCTGCCACCCACTCAGGCCCGACTTAATCTGTGCTGAGCACCGAGCAGTGGGAGGACCCGCCGCCCCAGCTCCCTGAAAGGTCCTGATGGGCACCTGTGAGGAGCCCGATGCAGTGGCCATTGGGGACAGCGCTTTTCTCTTCCTTGCCTGGGGCCCGGCAGAAGGCAGGTTTGAGGCTCTGGGGACAGAAAACCGCCTGTGGCGCACCGAGGTCAAAGAACGAGAAAAGGAGTCACAGGATCACAGGGCCCCCGGCGGGGACGGGGCAGGGCCCCCCACGCCCCCCCCAGGCCGGGTCCCGGGTCCCCGGGGACTCTGTCACCCTCCTCTCAGGGCCGCCTTATTCACGGGGCCCCTCCGTCCAGGCTGGGGGCGGAAATGTCTTCGCTTCGGCGTCTGGGGTCTCAGCCACGTGAAAGTTACCCTAGATCCGCGGAGAGCGCGCGAGGGGCCTCCAGCCCCCACACCTAGACGGACCGGTCGCCCCCCATCGCTCCCGCTCACAAGCAAGTCCCGATCGTGGCCCCCGAGTCTCCCCACCAGCGACCCCAAGGGTCGCCATCACTCACCCTCCCGTCCCGCGTGGCTGCGAGTGAGCTCGCGCCCGCGCCCGCCGCCGCAGAGTGGCGGCCGTGGGGGCGCGCGCGGAGGGGCGGGGCGCGCGGGAAGGGGCGGGGCGCAGCATCTGGTTGCTAAGGGGGGCGGGACGAGAGGGCGGAAAACATCCGTACGGCGACCGGAAGCCCCGCCCCAACATGGCCGCGCCCAGAGGTCTGGTTGGAAGCCTTCCCGCGCCGTCATGTGACGCGAGCCCTCGCTCCACCCGTCTGCAACCACTCCCTGTCTTCTTCCCCAAGCTCGAGTGGGCCACGTGACCCTCCCGGGGCCAGTCACGTGAGCGTGAATCCTGAGTGGGAGGGGGTTGGCAGAGGGGTCCGGAGTGGCAGTAAAGGAGAAAGATGGCGGGATGCAGGGGGTCCCTGTGCTGCTGCTGCAGGTGGTGCTGTTGCTGCGGCGAGCGGGAGACCCGCACCCCGGAGGAGCTGGTGAGGAGAGGGTGGAGCCGGGATGGGGATGGGGCAGTTGCTAAGGGACGGCGAGAGGCGTCGCCGGGGGTGGGGCCGGGCCGACTGGGCCTGCAGGTGGCAGCGGGTGGGGCCCTGGGACCGCGGCTTGAGCTCTCCGAGCATCTGCCAGGTTTCACGTGAACAAGTCTGAGGTCTTTTCTCATATCCTCTCCCAGGAATATGAGGAAGAGTCCGCGTCGCCTCTAGTTCATTTCTTCCGTATTTATTGCCATCGGGAGTTTTGAATGAAACAAGTGTTTTCAGGATGAGCTTCTTCACTGGACTTTGTGCTTACGGTGCAGCCGGCTTAGTTTCTGCAGCCCTTTCTCACTCCATCCCTCACCCTTTCTGGGTCACTGACTATCCGCTTCCCCTTGCAAAGCACCCTGGGAAAACTTGAGTTGCAGTGTCCCCAGAGTTGACAGATCTTTTCTGATTTCAAATTCAGCATTGTCGGATGGACAGTTTCACCTCCCTTAAGCTTGCAATGAACAGCTTATCCTGAAGAGAAGAGTGACTGAAAAATCCGTCTGTAATAATGAGCTCAGCTGGAAGACTGTAGAACCCCACCCACATTACTCCCTCTCTGTCCCAGTTTTTGAGTGTGTGTGGTCTTGTCACCATTTGATGATAATGGTTCCAGTTGATTTTTTGCCTCTTTCTGCTTGTAATCATTCAAAGGGTCTTCCTTCTGTGGTTCTGTTTTCTAGACCATCCTTGGAGAGACCCAAGAGGAAGAGGATGAAATCCTTCCAAGAAAAGACTATGAGGTGAGATTCTTAGATGCTGTTTTGAGTCACACAATTAAGGAATGACCTGGTCACTTCGGATCAAAGCATTAGGATTCCCACAGAGAGGCTCTCTGAGCTTCTATCCAGGCACTGAGTGGTAAGAGATAACTTCTCCCTAGGAAAGGCCTTATGTCTCCACACTTTCTTGGGTGTTTGGCACCCAAACCTGGATTGAGTATTTATTTACCATCAGATTATTTTCTTTTACAACTTGTAGAGTTGTGTGTGTGTGCTCAGAGACTTGGCCTCCAGATGATTGCTTGCTGCCCAAGCAGTTTCTCTCTGAAATATTCTTGATCATAATTCTGGATTTCAAATATGGGACTTGTGTATGTGTGTGTGTGTTTAGTAAAAGCAGTGTTGCTAGAAACTTTGCACATGTGTCTTGTTATCATTTGATCGGTTCATGATGACATCTCTGTGATTTTTGAAGTAAAAAAAAGAAAACAAGCTATGGTTGTGATAGAGAATTCTTAAACTATTCACAAGAAGATGCTAGAGAAAAACTCATAACCCCACTCAAAAAGATGACTGTTAACACCTTACTAAATATTCTTTTTTTATACTCACACATGTGCTTTTTCTAATTATCAGAAGTGAGCTCTATTAAATACACTTTTTCCCCCCTACTTGATAACAATTTTTATATTGCTGGATACTTTTTATAATATATTTTTAAAGAGGATTAGGATTTTATTGTGACTTTCCTGTGTGATGAACTACACAGTGGTAGAAATCCTTTCTTGTTCATCCTTAATTGCTTCCTTGGGATTAATGCCAAGATGTAGAATTAATCATATATATTTAATCCGTTTTTTCTTTTAAAAAATTCACTATCCTAGAGCAGTAACATAACCAGACAAGTTTTCTTTCCAGCATTTCATTTGACTTTTGCTGTAAAATTTAGTGAACCCATTATAATTTGTAGAGTAGCATGGACTTTAAAAATAAACTTTTGCTATAGAGAATTTCAAATACTGAAAGAACAGGATAGTGAAATCCCCTGTTTGCATCACACAGCTTCAGCAGTGGCTCCACGCACGCCCAGCCTATATTCATGCTGCCATCCCCCCATATTATTTCAAAGGAAATTCTATACGTCGCATCATTTCACCCATAAATAATTCATCGTGCATCTCTAGAGGATAATGACTTTTAGCATAATACAATACCATTTTCACACCTAAGAACGCAACATTCCTTGTTCGTAATTGAGAGGTTTGCAAGAATTAGTGTAAGACACCTGCCTTGGCCAATTCCTTGTAGTCCCTCAGTGAGTCTGGTGAGATCCTGACTGGATTGTCTGACTCTCCAGAAGCTTTCGTCCTACTCCTGGGAGTTCACCGTGACTTCCCTGCTCCATTACCCTGCTGTTTCCTTCGCGCCTTTCACTAAATTGCACTTGTATCTGTAATGTATTTACTTTTAGCTGTAATGCACATTAGTGTCAGTTTTATGGGTTAATGTTCTTTCACATGAGTCATTAATATTTCTTAATTAACCATCTTCGTATGAGCTTCTGGAGAGCATTCAGTTTTTATAGGAGCAAATTTAGCTAGGCAGTTAATCAGAGAAGTCCGCTCAGATTTTATTTTCATTAAGTGTCCCTAGAAAACCTTCTGTTGAAAGTTTTCTAAAATGCAGTTCTTCTTCCCCCGTAGAAGCTTATGGTACACACTGGGCTCTCTTTTTTTTTCCCCATAAGTTGGGTGTCTTACAAGATGTTAAAATCCCCTTCTTGACTTCCTTTCTCCTCATCAGTGGTCCAGGGCCCTTTCCAGGCCCTAGTGTTTCTGTGCAGCTCGCAGAGAAGGTCCTAGAAGCAGTTTTGAAAAATACTGTGATATTAAGTGAGGACTCACTATATGGCTCTTTGAGCTACTCAGAGGCACCTCTCAAGCGGAGCCCCCTGCTGTCTGTGTGAGCAGTAAGGTGTCCTTCCTGAGCTGCATTTTTTTAATGATCAAATATAGATCATTTTATTTTTTTACGAGCTGCATTTTGACCCCAATTTGACCCACAGCCAGATGCCATTTTCTTATAACCAAGGGCAGCAACCCTGCAGAGCACCAATAAACATTTCATTTGAAAAAAAAAATTTAATAAAGAAAAAGTAGTTCATCCCCACATCCGAGAAAGCAGTATATGCAGCAGAAATAAAAGGAAGCTAGTCATAGTGAAGTCGCAGCAGTATCTAACCTTAAAAACAGATCAGAGACAGCCCTCCCTGGTGGCGCAGTGGGTTAATGCACTGCACTAAGAAGCTTAAGCCACTTCCTCATGAGTTCGATCCCCACCTCCCCTGGAGGAGATCCCCACCTCCCCTGGAGGAGATCCACAGCGCGGCAGATCTCTCCTGACCCGCCCGCTGCTCCCCTCAGCAGTGTACTTCGTCGATCTGCCTGTTCTGCTCCCCACTCTGTCTCTGGTGAATCCTCTCACCCTCCGCATCTCTGGCCTTTACCCCAGTTCTGTATGAATAAATAAATTAAAAAAAAAAAAACCAGATCAGAGAGTCTGTTGGTTCATAGTTCCAATGTCAAAGGTCTTGATTTATTAAAAAACTAATACTAAAGTTTACTAAAAAAAAGAAAAGGGCAAGTTTCTGGCCCTGGACTTGTAAGTGCCCTTTTTTTTTTTTTTTAAAGATTTATTTATTTATTTGTGCATACAGAACTGGGGTACAGGCCAGAGGCTCAGGGGCGGTGAGAGGCTTCACCAGAGACAGAGTAGGGAACAGAACAGGCAGATCGACAAAGTACACTGCTGAGGGGAGCAGCGGGTGGGTCAGGAGAGGTCTGCCGCGCCATGTGGTCACCTCCGGGGCAGGCGGGAATCGAACTCATGCAGAAGCGGCTTTATATTCTCAGTGCTGTGCTTTAACCCGCTGCGCCACCAGGGAGGGCCCGTAAGTGCCCTTTTATCAGCTTTCTTGGGCTATAATTCACTTACCGTACAGCTGACCCCTAAAAGTCTACAGGGCAGTGGGGTTTTTCAGTGTCTCACAGAGCTATCTATCCACCAGCAAGTCGCTTTGAGAACATCTCCCTCATCCCCAAAAGAAACCCTGTGCCCATTAGTGGTCACTGCCCATTCCCCTTGCCCTCACCCCAGCGGCCACTCATCTTTCTGCCTCACTTGATTTGCCGTAGTATGTGTTTCTGTAGCCTTTTAAGTGTTTAAGGAGTCATGGCGCTTTGGACAAAACCATCAAGCAAATAATTAATTGGTCAGTTACTTCTATATCTATCTGATCTGAAGGATATTCGTGTTTTTCAGTATTTTCATTTGTTCCCAGAATGGGATGTCATTTAATTGATTTTTAAAAGTGTGTGTGTCTGTGTGATCACTCCAGATGAGATGAGGCTGGTTTCCCAGCAGAAATGTTTTTTTTTTTTTTTTTTACCAACTGTGGTGTTTTGTTTTATAATTTAAAAAAAAATGGACATGATGTTTGCTGGACAATCCCAAGTAATGCAAAATGACCTTGATTTTGTTTCATCCAAATGGGATAGTGTACTTTCCATTCTGTGTTTAGCTTTATTGCTTTATTCTTAGCTTTTTTGCTCTTTTACTTAATTTTGGTACATTTTCCCCATCTGTCTACAAAGACATGTCCTGTTCGTTTTGCTGCTACATGCACTTGTGATGATTGACTTAGTCACCTAGTGATACTCCAGTGCCCTTGTTAATCAGGAATTTGAATTTGGCGTCATCGTAGAAAGGGAATAAATAGTCATACGTTACACCTGTGTTCACCTGGGAGCGTGGCCCTGGGCCGGCGCCCACCTGCTTCACTAGCTGCCCTGGAAGTAGGAACAGGCTCGGGAAGCGGAGAGCATGAGGCAGGCCATCTTCCTTGTCTCCACACTGCCGCTCCTCCCACACCGTATAGAAGTGAAATCTCCTTTGAACTGTCTCTGAAACGGCTCTGACGCACCTGCAGTGTCCGGGAAGCGCAGTGGCAGGAGCCCTGCTGCAGTCATGGGACGTGCAAGAGCCGGGCTGATGATGTGCTCTTCGAACACAAGCCGGGAGTGGCTTGTTAAAATAGGCTCCAGGTCCGGGTGTCTTGTGACTCACCCCTCTCTCCCAGACGCCAACAAGAAAAGATACTTACAATTAATCGACTCTCTAAGTTAATTTGGCTCCGGCCTGTTGAAGTTTTGGTCACTGAATCAAGTTGGGTAGTAGCACCGAATGCTGAAGCTCTCCTATTCAGCTCTGCTTCGCTGTTTCGTCAGAGACCGGACGTTTAAAAATAGGTAACTGAAAACTGTTGAGGTGTGAGCCTGGAGCAGGGCTGCTGAAATGTTAGGCGTGAGGAGTGCAGAGCGAGGCGCTGCGAGGTCTGAGGGCCAGCGGTGGCTCACTGCGCGCCGCCCGACCGCCGCGCCCCAACCGGGAGGGCCAGCCCCTCCCAGGCGTCGCTCACCCCTCCCCGCTGGGGGTGACCCGCTTGTTCCCATGCCCCTCTTTCAGAGTCTGGACTATGATCGCTGCATCAATGACCCTTACCTGGAAGTTTTGGAGACCATGGATAACAAGGTGAGCCCCTTGTCAATTTCTTACGGTAGAAGAGGTCTTAACACAGCTGTCCTTTCTGTTCTAAATGCTCTGGTAAATGCCCTAGCCCCTTTGGGTCCCTTCATGAGGTGTTGCCATTTGCTCTTCAGACCTTCATCCTGCCAACCTGAGTCCCCACAATCAGGGCAGATGCCCCCACCCTACGAGTCCTTATTCCAGCACCAGAAAGCCCCCACCCTCCCAGAATCTGTGCACTGTACCTGCTGCCCATGCAGAATTTAATCTCGGAACAGCTGACCAAGAGACGTTCCTTTTCTGCTACTGATCTAGCCTGTCACAAACTGAGCCACTCTTTCCTGTGTACACAGAAAGGCCGAAGGTATGAGGCAGTGAAGTGGATGATGGTGTTTGCCATTGGCGTCTGCACTGGCCTGGTGAGCAGGCGGGGCCTGGGGGAGAAGGGGAGGGGTCAGAGGGCGCGTTCTGGCCGGGCCAGTGATGGCCGGGCCTGCAAGTTGTTTCTTGCTACAACAGAGACGCTTTCCTTTTTCCCTTTTGTCTTTTCAAATTTATAAGCTGGACACTGTTTCTCATATTTGTGCTTTTGCTTTGTGAAATGAAAGTAAGCCATGCAATCATTTGCTCTACAAGCACTCGGCGCCTGGGGCCAGACCGGTCTTCCAGGCTGTCTGGGGTGATCCTCCCAGGTGGGCGGTGTACTGGGAGAGCGCCCAGGCATCCCTCTGAGGGGAAAAGCGAAATCGTGGGAGCACAGCCATGAACGTGCCCTTTCTTTTAGCATAGCAGGCCCGCTGACAGGACGCTGTTGCTCTCAGGACCGTATTGTGCTGGCCTGGGCCGCCTCCCTGGGCAGTGCTCGTTTATCTAACAGTAGAGCTGGCCAGTGTGGGTAGAGCCTAACTGCACAGGGTCCGGGCCTTCACGAATGAATCACAAACAAGAAGATACCAGGCAGCGTTGGCGAGGTTAGCAGCACGGGCTCTGGACCATCTGGCTTGCCTCGGATTGGCCTGGAGGCCGGAAGGTTATGAGCAGGCCACCAGGAGGCCTGATGCTCCACCAGTATGGCATCAGAGTAGGGGACTCCTCAGCCCATGTGGGTGCAGAAAAGCCCTCGCCTAGGTGGCTGAGGCACTTCTTACTCCTCACGGACCTGGAGTCTGGGAAGGGCGAGGTCAAGGTGCCAACAGTTTTCACGTCTGGTACAGCCCAATTCCTGGTTCACGGCCGGCTGTCTCGGCACTGCCCTCGTGTGGCCAAGGGAAAGGGGATCCCTGGGGTCTCTTTGATAGGACACTAGTTCCCAGGCGTAAGTTCTTGCCCTCGTCATCTATCGAATCGCCCACCAAAGGCCCCCACCTTTTTTTTTTTTTTTTTTTAAAGATTTATTTATTCATACAGAACTGGGGTACAGGCCAGAGGCTCAGGGGCGGTGAGAGGCTTCACCAGAGACAGAGTGGGGAGCAGAACAGGCAGATCGACGAAGTACACTGCTGAGGGAAGCAGCGGGCGGGCTAGGAGAGGTCTGGCCCGCCATGTGGTCTCCTCCGGGGCAGGCAGCAAGCGAACACAAAAGGAAGAAGATACAGCTTCTCAATGCAGCCCTTCAACCCGCTGCGCCACCAGGGAGGGCCGGCCCCCACCTTTTAATGCCACCACAGTGGGGGTTAGAATTTCATCATGTTAATCTTGAGGGAGCACAGGCAGTCAGTCTGACCTGGGGCTATGTTTTCTTAAGCATTTTCCTGGACTGATCCCAAGTCCAATACTATGAGATGTGGCTTAGAAGTATCATTGAGGCGTCTTAACAGGCTCAAGAACCAAGCACGATTTTTCTTCACATCGCTCGTCACATTTTCACTGTAGGAAATTCAGAGTCAGGGACATCTTACTAAAGACCATTCAGGACGCCTCTTCAGTAGCGTTCAGTGCCTGCCCTTACGGGGAACTTGGGTTACTTGTCGTGCTGAAATGTCAGTATTGTCCTGCTGTGCCTCTGAATCCCTGTAACAGATTCAGTGTTAGCATCCAATCTTTGTCTCCCTGCTGCTGTCCTGCCAGGCTCCTCCCGACTGCCATTTGTGGCTGCTGGCCACTTGGTCTGGCCCTCGAGCTGCAGAAAAGCGGGCCTGCCTTCCTGAGGCAGCACCAGCTCCTCTTGCTGCTGGTTCTCTCACCCTTTGATCTGCTGCCACTTGTGGGAAGCCTGTCGCTAGTCGTCAGCATGGGGGTGGGCTTGGGGGTCGTGATGCTCGCTTGCTCTTCACAGGTGGGTCTCTTTGTGGACTTCTTTGTGCGCCTCTTCACGCAGCTCAAGTTTGGAGTGGTGCAAGCCTGTATCCTTTGCTCAGCCCTCGGTGTCGCTGGATGTCAGCAGTCGTTGACTTTGCTTTCTTACCCAGAAAAGAGTTTAACATTTTTAAAAGATTTTATTTATTTATTTTTTGTGTAGAAGAACTGGAGTGTAGACTAGAGGCGAGGTCGGGGGGTGAGAGGATTCACAGAGACAGAGTGGGGAGCAGAACAAGCCAATTTTCTGAATCCATTGCTAAGGGAGCAGCGGGGAGACAGGAGGGGTCTGCTGCAGTCTGTGGGTCACTCCCTGGCCGGGGCCCAACTAGGCTGTAGCGGTGATAGCGCCGAGCCTTATCCCTAGGCCACCAGGGCAGCCCACTAAGAGTTTAAATTAGATGTCATCTTTGAAGAGCTGTGTATTAGCCATTGGGCTTTAGGTTTTTAATCACCATAAGGGCACCAAAGGACACTAGAGAGCGTCTCAGGTTCACAGTTAGCAAGACACAAATGCCACAAAGATGCCTGTTTGCCTCACCAGCCTGTAAATTCAGTGCAGGACCCATCAAAGGTCTGGTAGGTTATTTTGTGGAATTTGAACATTCTCTTCCTAAATTCATGTGGAAGAATCAAGGGTTAAATGAAGTCAGGACAGATTTGAACCCCAGGCAGGGAACCTGCCCTCTTAGATATCAAGATGTCCATGATTTAAGATCTGGTAATTGGAACTGTCAGATTGGTGCAGTTCAACCAATGGAAAAAACAGAGAAGCAGAAACTGGCCCACGGGTGTATAGAAGTGTGGTGAATTGCAGCATGAGGGGTAGAAGTCAGCAAGGAAGCAATGGAATGTAAGATGCTGGACGTTGACTTTATATATATATATATATGGAAAAATACCTTACTTATATACATATTATAATTAAATCCTGGGTGGGGTCAAAATGCAAATAGGCAAAATTATACTTGAGACCACATGATATTAAACATAAGGAATCATTTCTTACAAATCCAGAGGCATGAAGTAAAAGGGTAAAGACTGATGAATCTGACTACATTAAATATTCTTATTCAGAAAACCAAAACCCACAAAGAACAATAGAACACCACAAACCAAATGAGCACAGCCTGAGAGAGGTTATTCACTGTACATTGAAGAGCCAAATAATTAGAATCCAGAATAAAGAAAAGAACTGTAACCCTATAGGAAATGGCCCAACTACCCAGGTACCCTTCAACAGATGAATAGAGAAGCCATATATCTGATGGAATATTACACAGCTCTGAAGAAAGATGAAATGTTGGCATTTGGCACAAAATGGATGAACCTTGTGGTGATTTTGTTGAATGAAATCAGTCAAAACATAAAAGACAGATTTCAGAGGTTTCCCCATCTGAATACCAGTACTTAAGAAACAGTTACACACAGCAATAGAAAAAATTAAAATGCTAACCTAGCAAAAAAAAAGAAGATAATGGTTATCAAGGAGGTAGGAGAAAAGGTGGAGGGAATAGAGGATGGAGGCAGATGGGGTAGGGACATGGGTGGTTTGTTGGGGGATTTTAAAAAAGTAAAAATAGAGCCCAGTGGGAAGGGACCCCAACAGCCTAGAGCAACCTGGACAGAGGGCAGTGTCCGGAAGGACCACAGTCAGCGCAGGTCAGCGGTGTCTCTCCGAGGAGGGAGAAGAGAAACATGAAGGTGGTTGTTCTTTAATGGCATTTAAGGTTTTACTTTTTAAAGCATCTGGAAAAAAGATGACGTAGTGTTGAGTTGGGTGAGACTGGACCTATGAGGTGTGGGTGCTACTTTGGATTTTTAAGATTTGAAATCGTTCATTTAAAAAGGGCACCTGGTGCTGCAGTGCAGACAGTGAAGACATCACAGTGTTTTAAAAAAAAAAAAAAAAGATTGATTTATTTCCGCATTCAAAAAGTGGGATATAGGCCAGAAGTATGGGGGGCAGGGGGAGGATTCCCCAGAGACAGAGCGGGGAGCAGAACAGGCAGATGGACTGAAATACACTGCTGAGGGGAGCAGCAGAGAGACAGGAGGGGTCTGCTGTGTCCTGAGGGTCACTCCCTGGCCGGAGATCAAACTCAGGCTGCAGTGGCTGCAGACAGCTTCACAGTGCTGTGCTTTAACCTGTTGTGTCGCCAGGGAGGGCCCAATTGCGGCAGCTTTTTAAAAATGTATGTATGGCAGACAGGAAGGTGTGCAGTGAACAGGCAGCACCCTCCGTTCCCCACCACAGCAGGAAGGCCCTTAACCCCTTCTCCGCAGCCGTGGAAGAATGTAGCCAGAAAGGCTGCCTCGCCCTCTCCCTGCTTGAACTCCTGGGTTTCAACTTGACCTTTGTCTTCCTGGCCAGCCTTCTGGTCCTCATTGAGGTGAGGGGGGCATGGCCTTTTTCCTACGACATTTTGGGTGCTGGCACTCGGGTTCACCATCTCCATTTCTGGGATGTCAGAAATGGGTTCAGGCCTCAAACACAGGTGCCTGCAGAAAGTGGCCTCTTGTTCACTTAGAGATGTTTCTGCAAGTGAAGTTTCAGCCCCTGGTGAGGTTGAAGAGGAAAGATCTCGATTAGGAGGGGACTTCAAGACCTCAGCCGCACATTTGAATTGCCGGCGGCCTTTAAACAACCACGGGTACCCGGGCCGCCCTCTAACAAGTGAGCTCTGAGTCTCCAGATGTGGGGGGCCTGCATTCATTGTTAAGAGGCTCCCTAGCAAGGCTGAGTCTTTGGGACCATGTTAGGCAGGCAGTCTTCCTGTCCCCTACAAGTCAGCAACCTAGGGGGGCCAGCAACTTCCTTTGAACAGACCCAACAAGTGAGGCTGATGCAGCTAATGAAGAGACTCCATTGTCCTCTGGACGGTGAGAGTGTTGTGAGTAGGCTCTAGAACCCATGGGTTGTGATTTGTGGGTGCTCGTCCTCTCCCCGTCAGCCCGTGGCCGCGGGTTCCGGGATCCCCGAGATCAAGTGCTACCTGAACGGAGTGAAGGTGCCGGGTATTGTCCGCCTCCGGACCCTGCTGTGCAAAGCCTTTGGGGTGCTGTTCAGCGTGGCTGGAGGTAAGGAGGCATCTGTCTCTGCACCCCCTGTGTAGGGGCGGAGATGCCGGAATCGTGTGTGTGAACAGGTTGGGGTTTGCAGGGCCCTCAGGGGAGTCTCGGCACTTTGCATCAATGAGCCACTGTCACTGCAGACGCTGCAGGAGGCGCCCACCCACGTGCCCAGCTCGGAAGAAGAGTGCCCTCCTGTCGGTTCGGGTGCTGACTGTCAGCTGTCAGCACGCCTCTTGTAGAACCAGCCAGATAGTGTTCTGGGTGCTGTGGGCCAAGAGGCAAAATAGGATCCGTGGGAGATACTTAAACTTACAACTCTGGTTGTACAAAAAAGGCACAGGGGCTTTCGTTGGTTAGCCCAAAGAGTGCTTTGTCTCTTGTGCACGACTTTTTTTTTTTTTTAAGATTTATTTATGCATGCATGCATGAAAGAACTGAGGTACAGGTCAGAGGTTTGGGGTGGGGGGTGAGAGGCTTCACCAGAGACAGAGTGGGGAGCAGAACAGGCAGATGGACAAAATGTACTGCTGAGGGGGGCAGCGGGCGGGTCAGGAGAGGTCTGCCGCTCCCTGCGGGTCACTCCCTGGCTGGGGATGGAACTCGTGCTGCAGGGGCTGCGGACAGCTTCAGAGTGCTGCGCTTTAACCTCTTGCACCACCAAGGTGGCCCTTGTGACAGGGCTTTAAACAGAGCTTACTTGATGGGATTTGGCTCGCTTTCTCCCTTACAAAGTGATAGGATCATCTCGGTTTTATAGCCTGCAGGAGAAAAGTCTCCTGATATAGAGGCCGTTCTGTGCTGACCGCTGTTCTCCCTCTTCACCTCTCTCAGGGCTCTTTGTGGGGAAGGAAGGCCCCATGGTCCACAGTGGTGCGGTGGTGGGAGCTGGCCTGCCTCAGGTGAGGGCTGGTGGGCCGGGAGGGGGTGTCCCTCGGGGCGGCCCCCGGGCTGGGCAGGCCTGTGCTGGAGTTTGGAAAAATCCATTAGGAGCTCCGTGCTGGGGAGTCTGATGTCGGTGGGCGCTGAGGACACTGCCGTCTGCCTCCTGGGGGGTTTGCCTCAGGGAGGACAGGCCACAGGTACCTCCGAGCTCAAACAAGGCCCTGCTGTGCCCCAAGAGGGAAACGCGACATAACATAACGACTGTGTGTTTAGATGAAAGTCACCTGGGGCTCCCCAGCCACTCTGAGCATCCCATATCGCCCGAGAGCTGCCCCGCCCCAGGAGGCCACAGGAAGGCCGGGGAGGGCGTACACAGGCATCACGTGGGTGCGCCCCTGCCCCCCCTTCTTTGAACCGAAACACTCAAGAGGCTCCTTGTCATGAGGCTCCTTGTCATCCTCCTCCTCGCTCCCAGATGCTCCCAGACGAGGAGACAGGCTCCCGAGGAGCAGGGGCCTGCCCAGGGCCGCGGCACTCCCACCCCGTTCTCAGCGCCCCGCGGCCCTCGGCAGTCGGGCGAGGCGCGAGGGCCTCTCTCCCCAGAGCCCCGTCTTTCAGCTCGTGCTGCTGCCGCCTCCCAGAGGAGAGCCAGAGCCCCGAGGAGGCAGAGCCAGGCCTGGGCAGCGAGGGGCTTTGCCACGCTTGCAAGGTCCCTCTCTGGGCCCCTTTCCCGGCTGACCCCTTCAGTTTCGCCCAGGCCCCGGGTGGCGCTTTCCCCTTCAACTGTCACTTGCCGAAGACCCCAGAAAGGTGGGGTGGGAAAGAAGGCCCTCCCGCCCCGTCCCATCCCGCCCTGCCCCGTCCCGTCCGTGGTAACTTCTTTACTCCCCACTTGCGGCTCTGGACTCGCCCTCTGGGCCCTCCGGCCCTTCTGTCGGGTGCTCAGGCCACCCCGCCCGGGCTGCAGGTTCCTGAGCCCCCGTCTTTGTCTTCCCCCGTTTCAGTGCCAGAGCCTCTCCTTACGCAAGATCCAGCTGAACTTCCCCTATTTCCGAAGCGACAGGTATGGGAAAGTCAGGACCTGGGTGTATTCGGAAGCTGGCCGCTGACTGCCGCTCTGTGCTGTGTGGGCCGTGGCCAGCTCAGGTGGCCTCACTGGCGGCCTCGCGGGGAGCCCCATGCCGGAAGGGGGGCTTTGGCTTATCCTGAACACAAGCACAGCCTGTTCTGTTGGGACACGAGGCCTAGACCCTTGCAGACGACGAGAAGACGGTCCGACTGAGAACAGCCGAGCAGTCGCGTTCTGGCCTTAGCAAGAGTGTTTTGTTCCCCAAGTGCTTCGCTCTGCCGCCGCCTTTCAGGGCTGGCGGGGCGCTTCTCTCTGGAATTCCTCACCAGCGGGCCGTGTGCGGCCCTGACCTACACTGGTTAGGCCGACTCGGCACACACAGGTCCCGGCTGCAGCCCTCCCAGCCGAGCCGGCGATTCTGAGAAGGGCTGGGGAGAACGTGTCTCCAAGGGCCGCCGGCCTCGCCCACCCGCCCGCGAGGCGGTGCCGGGGCCCCTCGCTCGCTCTGTCTCAGACCTCGGGGAGCCCCTCCGCCTGGGGAGGGCTGTGGCTGGCGAGCTCTGTGTGCCCCGGGTCTGCCTGACCAGCGCTACCTGCCTTGGTCTGCCCGACTTGGCAGGGCTTGAGGGGAAGGTGGGGGAGCGAGGCGGTGAGAAGCGGCCTCTCGCACCCCAGGGCTCGGTCATGGCTCAGCCAGCTCTTTCTCTTCCCTCCTCAGAGACAAGCGGGACTTTGTATCGGCAGGGGCAGCTGCCGGCGTCGCCGCGGCTTTCGGGGCTCCCATCGGGGGTACCTTGTTCAGCCTGGAGGAGGGCTCGTCGTTCTGGAACCAAGGGCTGACGTGGAAAGCGGTGAGGAGGAGCCGCATGAGCAGCCGCGGCTTAGCCGCGCCCCGTAATTCTCGGGCGCCCTAGAGAATCTGGGGTAATCTCCAAACTGCAGACTCCCCGCGTTCCCGTCCTCCCCACCCCCAAGCTGCTGTGGAGGAATCACCGACAGGAAGCCCTGAAACTGGCCGCGGTGTCAGGCAAAGTGGGGACTCGGCCCCCGGGTCCCGCCCAGAGCCGGGTGCGCCCTCGGGCGCTTCCTTGCCCCTTCAGCCCAGGATCGGGCCCACAGGGCGCTGCTGGAATGGAAACGTCTGGTAGCCTGGCTCGTGCCAGGTCTGGCCCACTTGGGGGGTGGCCCCGGGCCCAGCCTTAGGCCAGCCTCCAGCGGTAGGCTCTGCTCGGGAGAAGCGGCCGTGTGCGACTGAGCGCCTGTCTGTCGCCCGCCCCCAGCTCTTTTGCGCCATGTCTGCCACCTTCACCCTCAACTTCTTTCGTTCTGGGATTCAGCTTGGAAGTTGGGGTTCCTTCCAGCTCCCTGGATTGCTGAACTTCGGCGAGTTTAAGGTATGTTCTGTCCTTTCCCCCCCGGATTTCTTAACTTGACCCGCGCAAGTTGCTCTAAACTTCAGTGCCTAGAGAAGTGGTGAGCAGGGTAGGTGTGGCGGCCGCGGGCGTCGGCCAGTCCGCCCTCCGGCCCCTGTGCCTGCCCACGCCTGGCCCGGGGGCCCAGCACCGCCCCCTGGCGTTCGCCCTGCCTCCGCCTCTGTCCATCTGGTCTCATGGGCTCTGGTTTTCTCTCTCCCTCCCTTGCCCCTTCTCTCAGTGCTCTGACTCTGATAAAAAATGTCATCTCTGGACAGCTATGGATTTGGGTTTCTTCATCGTGATGGGGGTCATTGGGGGCCTCCTGGGAGCCACATTCAACTGCCTGAACAAGAGGCTTGCAAAGTACCGTATGCGAAACGTGCACCCGAAGCCTAAGCTCGTCAGGTACCTGTGCAGTGCCCCAGCCGCCGAGGCTCCCTCCGCTCCGAGGGACCGGCCACCTCGCCCCCGGAGGCCGTGTGGGAGCGGACCCTGCTCCCCCCACCAGTGCCTCGTGTCTGGGGCTAGAACGCAGACGGGCTTCTCGCCCTGCTCTCGGACAGGCCCAAAGGCCAAGTCTGAGCCACACTGACAGCAGTGCTCGGCTGACTCGCAGCCGCCCTTGACCTGACCGTGACAGAAGGGTCCAGGAGACTGGCCCCAGGCACCTGACGTGGAAGGCTACTTTGTTCTTGGCAAGAGGAGGCGGGTGTGCAGCCGTCATATTGGCCCAGCTGTCCACGCTCTAGAGGCCCCAGGTGGCTGTCCAGTCACACCTGTGCAGCTGCACTGCATGCAGGGGCTGCTGGGCCTGCTTGGGGCAGTGAGGGACGGGCAGGCTGGATGGTCACTGAGTTCCATCTCTGCATGGCCAATAGCGACACTTTGCTTCCAGAGTCCTGGAGAGCCTCCTGGTGTCCCTGGTCACCACCGTGGTGGTGTTTGTGGCCTCCATGGTGTTGGGAGAATGCCGGCCGATGTCGTCTTCGAGTCAGCTGGGTAATGGCTCACTCCAGCTCCAGGTAACCCCAGTGCGCCCGCGCCCTCTGTCCTACCCCTGCGAGGAACAATCCAGAAATGGGTGCCTGTGTTTAGAACTAACAGCCACTGGGGTCGTCGCTTCACACGCTGGATCAGGTGGCTAAGAGAGGGGGGTAGTGGTCGCCTTTACCCCGGAGAGGACATGCACATTCCCATCTGGGGAGCCATCCGGCCCACAGAACATGCACACACACCCCTAGTTGAAAACGGAAGCTTAGGAAGCTGAGTTCACCTCTTCCAGCCCCTGTTGACTCTCTGCCTCTCCCTGAAATGCCCACCGGCCTCCTCCACGTGACTGGGGGGAAGGCATGCCTCCTTGGTGGCTCTTCCCAGCATCCTTTGGTTCTCACTTGGCAGTTTGGTGTTTTTCCAGAATCTTCGCTGAGTAGACCCTGTGGGTCTGTGAGCTGGCCACGGGCAGACAGTGTGTGGTGGCGTTCCCCAGGGCAGAGGCTGGAGTGCGCTCTTTGTGCCCTGTCTTCTCCTGGCGCCTGAGTACCCCAAGGCCCTCAGTGCCCCTAGGAACGGCCTGTGAACAGCTGGAATGTAGGAGGCTGGTCAGCCACATTTGGCCTTGGCAACTGCCTGTTCTCTGTTCCTAGGCTAAGAATGACTGATATTTTTAAAGCGTTAGAATAAAAACAGCAGTAGAATATGCCAGAATTGCATGTGGCCTACAAAGTCTGCAATATATATTTACTGTCTGGCTCTTTACAGAAAAAAATGTTGCTGGCTACTCCCTAGGCTGCTTCATTCTGAGACCTGTCGCTTCCAAAGTGCTCCCAGGAACACTGACGTGGGACTCAGAGCCAAGCAGATGGAAAGGAATCCTGGGGTCAGATGGGTTGACCAGAACTCAGTAAATCTCACCGCTAGAGGACATGCCGGGACTGTCCGCGCCTGTCAGTGTTAGGACGTTTGGGGTGTCTGCTGTATGCCAGGTGTCCTGAGTGCTTGGCATCTGTGGTCTCATATACTCTCCACCACCGCCGTGTTGGCCAGGGGTAGTGTTCTCCCCATTTTACACATGAGGACTTGCCAAGATCACTCAGCCAGTGACTGGTAGCTCAGAGTAGGTTTTATTCCTGCTTGACAAGAAAACTAAAGTGTCACAAAATCAAAGTCTTTCCCAGGCTCATTCGAGAGCAGCAGAGTGAGAGCCAAAAGTACCTGATGTCAGCCTGTTCTTTGTTTCAGCAGATGCCCTGGCTTCCAGCAGGTGCTCGAAGCTTTTCGGTGCACTTGCCGGGAAAGAGTCCTCCTCTCTCCAGAGAGCCTATGGGACTGGCATCCCTCCAGGCATTTCTGGAAACAGCGCCTGCCCGTGGTGATGAACGAGGGATGGCCTCAGCTTCACCCACTCACTGTTCTGTGCACTTTCTCCTTTGCCAGCTTCCCCCTGCCAGGTTCTGCCAATAGGGGCACTGCCCTCTTCCCTAGAGCAGCCTTAGTCTGCCCTTCTCCCAGCCGGGTTCACCTGATGGAATTATACAAACTGGCACCTGTTCTCATTACAGTGTCCATATGAGGGCATCTTCGGGTGTCATCAGTAGAACTGAATGCAGGAAAATCTGTGTCTTAGGAATTTTTAAAGCCATTCCACGTGCATGCCCGGCGACGGGTCTGGAGGGCGTGCCCCGTGCTGTGTGGGCGGGGAGGCGGGGGCCGTCCCTCTGCAGAGGCTCTCGCCCTCGAGGGAGCCAGGCGGCCAGAGTCCACCTGTCCACAGTAGAGAGAGTAGGAGTGAAGTGTGGAGCGTCAGTCTCCTTTTTCCCACTGTAGATGTTATTCAGCCAGATGGGGCTGGGGGGTGGGGGCAGCCGGGGTCACAACGTCTGCATCCTGCATCCGCCCTGAGGACGCAGAACCAAGTCCAGGGACCTTTCACCACGCGTGTGCTGGGCGCGACCCTCCTGATTCTTTCATCCTCAAATGCAGAGCCTGCAGCACGGCGGGCTGGTCTTGCCTCTGGGTCCTCTTTCGCCACCTGTTTAGTTTTCAAGCGTAACTTGCCAGCCAGACCTCACCTCGCCGAGACACTGCTGCAGACTCAGGCCCGGCTGGGTGCCCCGTGCGACTCCTAACTTCCTGCTTCTCAGGTCTCACCCGAAGACGTGAATTCAAGTGTCAAGACCTATTTTTGCCCCAATGAGACCTACAATGACATGGCCACGCTCTTCTTCAACCCCCAGGAGTCTGCCATCCTTCAGCTTTTCCACCAGGATGGTGAGTATCTGTCCGGCCAGCTCGCCGGGTGTGAGTGGCCCCGTCCCCACTCCACCCCGAGCCAAAGCGGAGCTTGGCTTCTGCGCGCCAGTCTCGGTGAGGTTAGGGCTCCCGCCAGCGTCCAGGTGAGCTGGCCTGGAGGGCCCGGCAGCCGCCGAGGGGGCCGGGGGACGGGCCGGGCCTCCTGTGGAGGCTGGTGGAGCCCGAGAGAAGCTTCTGGAGGAAGGAGGAAGGCTGCTTTGCTGGGACTCAGCTGGCCCTCGCCTCGCAGGTACCTTCAGCCCCCTCACTCTGGCCTTGTTCTTCGTCCTCTACTTCTTGCTCGCGTGCTGGACGTACGGCCTCTCTGTCCCCAGCGGCCTCTTTGTGCCGTCTCTGCTGTGTGGAGCGGCTTTTGGGCGCCTGGTCGCCAGTGTCCTCAAGAGGTACCGTGAGCAAGGGTGTGCGTGCCCCCACCCCAGTGCGCGGTCCGCGCCCCCCGACATGCCCCCACCCCAGTGCGCGGTCCGCGCCCCCCGACTTGTTCCCATACCAGTGCGCGGTCCGCGCCCCCCAGCAGTGGGATTTGAGCCGCCCCGCCCTCATTTCTCTTCCCACCAGCTACATCGGGTTGGGCCACATCTATTCGGGGACCTTCGCCCTGATCGGTGCCGCGGCCTTCCTGGGCGGGGCCGTCCGGATGACCATCAGCCTCACGGTCATCCTGGTCGAGTCCACCAACGAGATCACGTACGGGCTGCCCATCATGATCACCCTGATGGTGAGCGCCACTTCCGTCGCCTCGGGCCTGGGGCCGAGGTCACCCGCCGCAGCGTGACCTCGAGCCCTGGCTTGTGTTTCAGGTGGCCAAGTGGACGGGGGACCTCTTCAACAAGGGCATCTACGACATCCACGTGGGCCTGCGAGGCGTGCCGCTTCTGGAGTGGGAGACCGACGTGGAGATGGACAAGTGAGCTGTGCCAGTGTCGCACCGTTTCGCGTTTGGGGCTCTGGGGCCGGGGCTGTGGGTGTGCGGGTGGGCATGGGAATTCCGGTTCCTGGGTGGAGAAGGTGAGTGGTGAATAGCAACAGGGACGTTCTCCAGACAGCGCAGGTTTGAGGGTGCTGCAGAGCCCAGGGGGCTGGGCACTCGGGCAGGGTGGGGGCAGAGGAGGGCGGGCTGCTCGGCGGTTTGGTTCGGCTCCTGTAGCATTCTGGTTAATCTGAAGAGAAGCTTCTAGATGCAGCCTGCGTGTGGTTGAGTGTTTAAGCCAAGCCTCGTGTGTACCCCATGACGTGTCTGGTCAGCAGCAGTGATGGCAGCATCACCAAACGCTCCCCAGCCCGAAAGCAGTGTAGGCTGCCGTGTCTGGGGTTCCCACCAGCTGTGGGCAGCAGGCTTTCCAGAAGGGTCTGGTGCGTAGACCTGCCTCTGCCCGCCGCGAGGCCCCCAGACCCCCACTGATGCCCATTCAGTCCTGATCACCTGTGAGTGCGTGAGCACGCTGGCTTGATCTGTGGGGCCCCACGGTCTAAAGGAGTCCCCAGATGTTTCCTACAAATCTCTGTGATTCAGTGAGCAGCACAGTGGTGAGGTGTGGCACGTGCCAAGGCGAGCTGATGGGGGGGCCGATCCTGCAGGGGTCGGTAGTGAGGGACACGCATGTGGACTGAGGGGTCACGCCCCAGCAGTGTGGCAGCCCAGGGGAGGGAACTCCCAGCCCGGAACCGCCTGGGCTGAGGGGGTGGACGTGCCAAGGACTGCGGGGTGTGTGTAAGGAGCGCAAGAGATGGTTCAGAAGAGGGGCTCTCTGCTGAGACTGGCGCCCCCCACTAGACTGAGAGCCAGCGACATCATGGAGCCCAACCTGACCTACGTGTACCCGCACACCCGCATCCAGTCCCTGGTCAGCATCCTGCGCACCACGGTCCACCACGCCTTCCCCGTGGTCACCGAGAACCGCGGCAATGAGAAGGACTTCATGAAGGGCAACCAGCTCATCAGCAACAACATCCGGTTCAAGGTGAGCAGAGCGGCCTGGGTGAGGGCGGACGGGCGGCCAGTGGCTCTTCGCTACTTGCGGGCGCTGGCGCTCGCCGCTCCCCCTAGGGCGGCCGTTGGCTCCTGCGGGGCATCGCCCCACTGAGCACACGTGAGGCGGTGAGCTCAGGCTTGACAGCCAGCGTGGCCGCTGCTGGCCGTCGGGGTGCGTGCCCAGCCTCCCTGCAGCCACGTGTGGTCAGGCCGCCGGCAGGGCCAGCTGTATCGCGAGGGCTGTCTGGAGTTGCCAGTGGCTAAGACAGACTTCGGCCTACTGAGAAAGAAGGTGAATCAGTCCGCGGCCACGGACTGGCAGGAAGCCGAGGCGCTGGCACGATGCCCTGGCAGGCGGGCGGCTTCCGGTGGCCCCGAAGGGACATCCAGGCAGAGGCAACCCTTTTGCTTCCCTGGAGCCACACGCCCAGCCCTTGGCTTTGGGGTGGGGGTTGCCATCCCACCAGACCCAAGGGGAAGGGGGTCTGTACCCCACTGGAGAATTGGGGCGCTGTTCCCCCATTCAAGGAGAAGGGGTGCTGGGCCAGCAAAAACCACTGGGCCTGGGGCTCCGGAGCCTCTTGGCCCCAAGCCCTGAGCCTGCCGCTCCTGCGCCCGGGGCTCGTGCCTCGCGCC